ACTGAAAAAGGTGTGCTTAAAAGCGTGTGAGTATTTAATTTTTGATAATTTTTTTGACATTTTTGACATTTATTATATCTATGGGGAATCATCTTTACACAGAATTATTTTTCGATTCAAATTTAGTTCCTTTATTAGAAAGGCATGGCTAAGATTGGTTCTTATGTACAACTGTAATGAGATTTTTATGTTTGAATCGCACAAAAAGAGATAATGTCAAATGTGCGTGAATGCATGTCAATATCTTTTTTTTAAAACTGAATTATGATTTTGACATTTTCATAAGCTTTAAACCATTGCCTTTCCACATATTTATTTATTTTAACATGAGAACTTTAAAAACGTTCATAACTGAACGGTCAATGTGAGTTGAATTAAAATAAAAAATATCAATTATCTGAGCATTTTCGTTACATTACGTCATACGGGATTTCGTGCTTTAAGTGGGCTGAAAGTGGAAATGGCACGTGTGCAAAAACGTTTGTTATCAATTCATCTTTCAAAACACATTTTTATTTTTTACATATCTATGATCTATGATATATAACCTATGAAAAGAATTATTTTCAAATTAATTGCTAGGTTAATTCAATAAGCAATTCTGAGGTATATTTGAACTTTAATTTAACAAATTATTTAATATTAATTTATGGATATGTTCTAATTTAAAAATGTATTTAACATATGCTTAATATGCTTGGCACAAAGAGTGATCAATTTTTCCCATTGAATTTGATCAATATTATAAAGGAGATCTGATCTCCCCCCTAAAAGGGTCTCTATTATAATATCTGTTTCTGAGTTGAACAACATAACAGAATCTGCCACATTTAAAACGTCTACTATGTCTTCAAACCAACAATCTCTGGTTTTAAACAATTTTGGACAAAAGAGTAAGGTATGTTTGACAATATCAGACGTGCTTTCGTTGCAACCCAAACAAATCATGTCACCATCTGTATGGAGAATTAAGAGATAAAGAAGTTGAGCATAATCCCAAGCATTCGCTGGGTATTTCATACCTAGTTTCCAGTGGACAATGTTTTCATATTTAGTATGAACATTAGAAAATCTTGTCAGCTTAGGGTTAATGGAAACTGATTCTGTCCAAGCGTTTTCTAATTTAAGTTGAATTTGACCATTAACGGCCATTTTCCATTTGTCTTTTGACATGTAGCTGCAATTTTTCAAATACATTTCCAATGATTCATACAAAATAGGGTATTCGTGCAAAATCTTAATCACGTCTTGCAAGAATCCTTTATTTTTACAATTAGTGTCAGTTCTTACAATGTAACTGCTTAGTCTGGTTAAAAATATCTTTTTAGGGATTGAGTCCCTATTAAACCTACAGAGTCTGCCCAAAAATAATAATTTCATTTTGTTAATGTAGTCTTTGACTGGCCATAGGCCAATGCAACTCAAGACACAGTCAGTTGGGGCTCTTTGTTCCATACCTTGGAAACGCTTTGAGACATGACGTTGTGTTTTTTCTAAATTTTCAATTTCTTGTTTAGTTAAACAATTCCATAATTCGCAGCCAAAAAATGCCTTTGGTAATATGAAGCGTTTCCAAATATTGGAACTTGTGATTGGATTTATACCATATTTTCGCATACCAATATTGCAGATTGAGTAAAAGGTTCTTTTTGCTAATTCACATGATGCATCAATAGTGTTTTTACAGCTTAAACTTCTATCGATGATGTTTCCAACGTAAACTTGTTCAGTTCTCGTTGGAATTGGTTCATCACCTAATTGCCAGTAAGATGGATTTTTGGCTAGAGCACTTTTACCAAATACAACAGCAGCACTTTTGCCATTTATGCCTGAATGATAAAGTAAACGCCAGCGTTTGCTGTAGTCATATACAATATCTAAAAGATGTTGGAGCCCTTTGGGAGTATTGTCATCAGCGACCAGTAATGTGGGCAATGTCAGGTTTCCGACTCGGACGCCATATGGTGACGCACATAGCTCGGTAATCAGCTCATCAATATATACCATGAACCAGATTGATGAACAGACCCGGCCCTGACCACATCCCTGCTCTACAGTGAACATTCTAGAGTACTTGCCTTGATATAATACCCTGGCTTTTGTTTCAGTGTAACTCATAACAATTAATCTCCAAGATTTGCTATTTATTCCAAGTCTGAAAAGTTTAACAAATAAGCCTTTTCGATACAATAAATCAAAAGCCCGGATGTTATCAAGAAAAGCAGCAAAAACTGGAGCTTTCCTCTCTAAATTATGTTCTATGGTTTCCCTTAATACAAAGGTAGCGACTTGGTTCAGTTCTCTCATTTTCAATCATACCAAGGTGATAGATTAACATAAGTGACCTTTCGAAAACATACCATTTTTGTAGAAAATGAAAGAAAATCGCGTTATAACACGAGTAATTGTCAAGTTCACGTCTTAAGTTTGATGTGGTAAAAAGCATTCTTCATAAGTCACACATTTAAGTTAAGGGAAGCCAAGATCATTTTAAAAATGAAACATTCGAATAGATATTTTTAACATTGAAATAAGAAAGAAAGTAAGCTTATACTAGTAGATTTGCTAGAACTAGCTGTTTGGAATTCATCAACTTTTCTCCACAGGATCATTTCGTAGTACAAATGCAGGTCATTCAAAGGAAATATAGGTTTCAACATCCCCGTATATGAATATTGATCTTTTTCAGACAGCAAAGGTAAGTTTAAAATAGAATTACTTCTTACGAATCCAAATTACACTTAAACTTAGAATTGTGATCTACGATCTTATGGGTATGTCACAAATTTGATTAGATACATTCACTCAGCAGGCCGTTAAACATGTAATTAACTTTACAAGCGTAACTATAGGCAACTTCGATTTTAGTATGTTCAAGTTCAAGTTCTGTAGTCTCGAGAGTCAAACGATTATCATAGTTTATTTGGTCTGCTTTTAGAATTGGGAAAACGAAGGCAAGGTTTATGTTTTATGAACATTCCGATTTGATAGCAAACTTTATTTTTGAGTGTATTAAATCAAATAAAGCTTATTGCGTCGGGACCTGTACGTTCGCCCAATTAAAAGCAAATGTGCCGTCAATTAAAGAAACATGCACAGTGGTACACCCTTTTTGGAAAACATAACACTGATAATAAAAATTCATCAATTGTTATGAAATTTGCACCATCATTAAAAAGAATCTCGAATTTCATGATGACAAAATATCGGATAAATATGACAAGAAATAAAAATTTGTTACATTTTTTCCCAAAAAGTTGTAAAATAAAAATAAACTAAAAAAATAATATTTTCACGACAAAAAATAAATAGGTCAACTGTATTGATTATACATGACGTTTTCAAAGAGTAGAGAGCTAGATTCAAAGCACCGTTCCTGCAAGTTTCAAATGAAAATATTAAAAACTGCGCGAGTAAGAGGACCGCAACTTTTTATGTCTACACTGACAAAAACGTGAAATTCCCGTTGTAAAGATATAGTCCATCGCGGAAGTGCACGTCATAAAGCTGATGGGTTAAGGCAATGTGCCGTCCAACTGTAAGCTTATACCAGTATCACGATATGATATGTGTAACAGACAAGGTAAGTATATTCTTCTTTAACACCCCAGTCACATTTCCTACGGCGACCGTGCGGTCTATCATTTCTGCTGTCAGTAACATTTCTACTACACGCTCTCCGTGGAATTTCTGCAGTCGGATACCTTTGCAGTCACATTTAGTGCAAGTAATTAAATGTAAGTTGCTGTAGCATCAGTTACTTTACATCAAACAGTATACAGTGTGCTTACAGCAAATCATATGAGCGAAAACTGACATAAAAACTGTTTCCAAAGGTGCATTACCCATCAAACCCTGTTACCCTACAGCAAACGCAAGTCAACGGCAACCCCGATGTGCGGCCACCGTTGGACCTTTCTGCTGTCTGGCAACGGCCTGTTGATTTCTACGGGGACTGCAGAATGAACAAATAGTATAACTCCGAGTTACACTGATTTCTACGGCTACCCTGCAGCCTGTAAAAAACTGGATTCGCCGTACGGAAACCGCAAGGCGAGTGTAGTTTTTCTACGCTCGCCGCAGAAATTTACTGATTTAATTAATCTGCGGTCGATCGCACGGCCTCCGTACGACAAATGTGACTGGGGTGTTATTCATACTTTCGAACATTCTCCGTTCATTTTTCTTGGACTAAGGGTGGTGTTTTAAGCATAGAAATCATTTTAAGGAAGTGAATATTTGTTTCAATCACTTTTTTGTACAAGACAAATCGGAGTTCTTTGCATCTTAATTTCCATTTTTAAATGCAGACTATGTCTTTCAAGACCGGTGAACACTCGTATGACCGGTTGTTATACTAATTTACATAGGAATAGCTTCTGCCCCCCCCCCCTTCTGCCCCGTGTGGATCAAGCGGAGTATTTTACTCAGTGGAAATCATGGCACTGGCGTGTTCACAGGTATTTTAACAAAGGAGGGACTACTTTCCTTTCAATTTTAGAATGAGTTGTAACCAAACCTGAGCAAATTCGTTCACTGTTAAACCCTGAGGCCCGGGTATACAGTCATTAATAAAAAACGATCAGTCTTATTCTTATTCAATGTAAGTAAATATAGTAATATATACATGTATACACCACGCATTACCAACTCACTACACTAGGGGACTTTTTAAACATTTTTAACGTATTCCTGGGCCTCAGGTTAAACCTTATATCTGCTTCAGAAGGGCTATCAGCCTTTTGCACTGGATTATCGATGTAAATGTGGATGCGTGATGCACCTAAATTCTGAACGCAGTTTGATAGTGCTTTTTGGGTAATGGTATCTTGGATTCATTAATTTCATGATGATGTTGCTACCACTTTTAATTCAGCAACTATACATGCATCCTAAGCATAGTCCTATGTGTAGTAGAGCCGGTGCATAAAAATAATGGCGGACTCAAAATAAGTACGACCAGATAGCTAACGAAAACAGTGTTCGTTCGTATTTTTAATGAATCATCAACTTCCTCATTTTTCTGAAAATTCCAAACTGCAAACAGCGAAACACACAAAATGGCGCAAAGAATCGTTCTTCAAATAATCATAGATTGGATATGCTTATTGATAGGTAGGGATTCCGCTTGTTAAATTTGAGATAAAGTTTCAGTAAGATAGGGGTCATTTTTGTTAGACATTCCTTGATAATGTGGTTGGAACTTGGAAATTCTATTTTTATTTTTTTTTCAATTTATTTTTCTAGGCTAGGCCAAGAGGGGCATTCTCAAAATTCATTTCGTTTGTTGCGTACCTTCACTACCTCTCTGGCGTTTTTAAAATAGTTCTAAAATTCCCGGGGCACGATCTGAGAAAGTTTCAGAAATTAGTACGATCTGTAATACTTTAGACGCCAAAACTTTAATATAGTCTAACATAAATTATAGAGTTTACAAATGATTTTACCATCGAAATTGGTAATTAATGTTGTATTTGATGTGTTTTAAGTAAAAATCTCCGTGGAGCAACAAATTGTAAAATGTCAAGATCGATAATCACTGGGTTACAACATTACTACTATTTTTTTCAAGGCCTGTCTGCGTCGCTAACATGCTAAATATAAGAGTTAGCTGACGTTTGGGAGTCTGACTTACCTTCTAAAGGTTAGAACCCGAATCTTAATGAAACTATATCACCTTTGTTGCGTCGATGATGATGCATAAACATAGCATTTGATAGAAATTAGCGTAAATGCTTTTCCGACTTTTTCATTTTTCATCAATGTTGACTTCCGGGAAGGCATTGTAGTTATCACGAAATAACGCATTGACCCTTGAACTTTACTTTGTTGACGTGTCAACCAAGCATGTCTGGTGTGAAAATTAAAAGAATATTAAGCAATGTTCTACATCCGCCAAGCTAAGTGAAGTAGTCAATATTAAAAATTACCAATTTCAAGTGAAGTACGCAACGAACGAAACTGCGTGATCTACACTCCCACTATTGGTCTGAATGAAATGCTACGTAGAAATATGAGCCGTCTGCTGTATTAGTCGATTAATAGAGAAAGACCTGTTGGTGATGCTTTATAATTTAGACCAAAACATTGAAGAACAAACGAACCTGTAAATCGTGAAAACAACGAACAAATATTCGGTTTTCACATATGTTCGGTAATTTTTCGTATTGAAACTTCCGGAACTTACAAGGAAATCATTTATTTTCTCGATCCATGATTTACCTCTTGGATGTTGTGGCAAATGCTCCATGGTTGACGGAACAAAGGTGATATGGTTTCATTAAGATTCGGGTTCTAACCTTTAGAAGGTAAGTCAGACTCCCAAACGTCAGCTAACTCTTATATTTAGCATGTTAGCGACGCAGACAGGCCTTGAAAAAAATAGTACATGTTTTCAAGATGGCGGTGTCAAAATTTTCTGAAAACGCTTCAAATAATATTATGTGAATTTCTGGCGAGTTCACCAATATCATAACTTGTTATCTAGTAACAAGATAGAGAAATATGTAAGAAATTCAATTTTATCGATTAAAGCATCATTACGAATATGGGGATGACGTCACTTCAAATCGAACTGCATAGCAACGGTGTTAATAATAAACAATTTCTGATCGGAAGTCCTTACAAATAAGTATTCACTTATTTTAACAGTTTGTTACAAATTACTTAAACCTGCACATCGCTCCAAAACGCAATATGTTGACATATATTGTTTTTACATTTTCAAGCTCTAATATAAAGTTTATGTAAATAAAAATTGTTTTTTTCTGCGTAATATCAAAGAACAATCATTTAGTTAAAAAAATAAAAAGACGAATGCGGGATTCGAACCCGGGCCTCCTGCGTGTTAAGCGAGGATTCTACCGCTACACCACCTTGTTCTTATGAACAATGGAAGTAATTAAACGCTACTTATTTTGAATGCAATGATTCGGAAGTGACGTCACATTCTTCATTTAGAAACCTTTCCAAAATCATAACGCCGGCTCCGATCGCAGCAAATTCAATAAAAAAATCTTTGAAATGACACATTTATCGTAAGTATTTCTACACAAGATTTGCCCCATTTGTTCATCATTCTATAATCTTTCATTAAGCTCAAAATGATCAAGTTCACCCCCGAAACAACCCAAGATTGCGTTTCGGAGCGAAGTCCAGCTTTAATATTTTTCTAATGAATGAATTCTACTATATTAGAAATAAACATATAAAATATAAAATATAACGAATAATATCACTAGCAAACGCAAAGAAATATGTTTTTTTGAAAGAGGTCAACATATTTAGAAGGGTAAATTTCGCGGGAATTTAAAGAACTGCATGAGGTAAGGCACAGGAGGTACGGATTGCACTGGACGAAAGGCTCGGAGATTGCAAGAGGGGGAGAAATCCCAGGGTTCAAAGATGATGCACATCTATAATGTAAATCTGTATTGAGATGACCCACGGTCTTGATTCGTCTAAATCGACAAACAAAAATGGTAGATTGAAAATTTTCTAATAACGCTTCGAATAATATATTGTTATTTGTGACATGTTACCAACATCATAGGTTGTTATTTCACATAAGATAAAGAAAGATGTAAGGAATTTGCTTACATTGATTAAAACATCAAAGCGACGTGTTACGTTCAAAAACTAACTGGTGAGAATTTGGGCAAAAGAAGGTGGTACGCAAGAGAGACGTAATATGTCTCCATCTCAATAAAGCTCTGGGTTTTCCCATCTCTTGCTAGGCCTTAGACCTAGGACTAGGCCAGTTCAACTTGTTTAAACTTAATGATATTCTGGCTTAATCTGACTTTTTCCAAAGCTGTCTCCAATATTTTCATTATTATATGTAAATAAGGTCACAGTGGGATATGGGATGGTGTTTACTGTATTTATTCATGAGGTATGCAATATTTAAATATGCATGCTTGCTTGGATCACATTATTAAAAGAGCAACATCATGTACTGTAGGCCTAATCATGATTTATTTACCAGCGCTTGCTGAGACAAGCGAAGCGCTACCATTCATTTTCCCTGAAATAGGCGGAATATCAATCTGCCAATGGACTTTAAATCAGTTAAGGGACACAAGATATGTCAGATAAGAAATAAAGCCCCGAGACTACAGGACTAGGTTGGCTAGACTAACCCACTGGGAGTAAAGGACCCCCTGATATTCTATATATTAAATGTTTTAATATATAAGAGTAAGAGGGTGACATACACAGGGTCTTGTATGAAACTTTTCAATACACAAGACTAGTTACAGGGATGATTTGAAAAATCAACTCCATATTTATGTTGGTATTCACATCCAAACAGCTCCCATATTTTGAACTCCAAGAATTAAATCATAGAAAAAGAAAAAAACAATTTTAATTACTTCCTTGTAAAATCTTATTGGTAAATATGGCAAACATATATATGAGTCATGACAGTCTGTGTTGTATTATTTTTGTTTTCCAGTTCATTCGTCAACGTGCTGTAGGTGCATTAATGCGTCTCTAGGGCTTTATTTATATATCTGAGATTTGTCATTGCCCTAGAGGCGCATGACCAAGCATAGAAAAAATGGTAAAGTTGAGCTTCTGAAAAACTACAGATCTGTTCTTTTGCTTTTTCTCGGAGCTCCTAACCTTAATCTAAGAAATTCTTGCACCACTACGTTACGACACTGCTTGGCTTCAAAATGGTACTTGATTTGCTGCAGTAAATCATAATATTTCCATCAAATTATTGTATTGATTTCTCGAAGCGATCTTCAAATTATTCACTGAACGAACCATGCCTATGTGAGGAACTTCCCGGGTTGTTGACTTTTCAAAGCCACACATTATAATCTCGCGGAAGTCTCTCATGCTTTGAGAAGTGGTTCCATTTGAAAAAATATTTTAGGAAACAAATCGTGATTTTTCAGTCAAATTAAGCACAAATACATCATGTTCCGCAACTAATATGTGGTAAGTTTAACAATTAATCATATAAGATCATATTGGGACAACAATATTTCACATTATAACTGGCGATCAAAAGGAATCAACTCCAAAGTAAGTAGCGCTGGGTTCAAAATTAAAATTTTTCTCAAGTTCATGAATTCTAATATGGGACAATCCCTGCCACCAATGACACTATTAAAACTCTGATAGTCATTAGGGACGGGGATCCTAGTCAACGTGTTGACTTCAATAAAGTATACTATACATTTTTTTATGTTAAGTCTGAAAATTTCACTATGGACAGTCTTCCAAGACAAAAATAGAGACCCTATCTGTTGCAAGACTATGTCTGGCACAACCGTCACCATGTCATTAAGTATTTTTAAGTTGCGCAAGAATCCTACCATGTGGTAGTGTTATCGTGAAAGCCTGGTATAACCTTGGCAATGCTATATTATATGGCAAGGCCTGTCATGACTGTGGTAATGTTTAAGCCTGATATGACCGTGACAATGGTTGCACGATAACACCACCAGGGTCATGGCGGGATCCTTGTGAAACTTTTTTTTTTTTTTATTTATTTATTAAAATCATATAAACATATATACATATAAGTGATAATGACACCCTAGTGGGTGTATGTCTTATCACAAGCTAAAATATTTAAAAATGGCATATTGTTAGTTACATTTATTATTGATGTTACAAAGTGTCTCAAAGTATAAATTATGTAAGCCAAACTGGGAAACAAATAAAAATAAAAATGATGTACATTATAAAAGATATAATAAAACATTTTAATGATGTAGAATAGCTAAATTGAAAAAGGTGCATCTGTTAAAAATTTGTACAGGGTACTAATCATAGAGACTAATTACATGTCTTTTGAAGGCTCGCTTAAAAATAAAAATGGTTTTTGAATTTTTGATAACATCTGGAGTTGAATTCCAGATTATTCCCCCTTGAGTTTTAATACTTCGTTTGCCATAGTTGGTTCTAAATTTGGAAATATGAAGATTGTCAGTCTGTCTTGTATTGTGGTCGTGTACCTGCTGATTTGCTTGAAAATAATTGCAAAATAAGTCATTCGGAAAATTGTATGGACGTTTGATGCATTTGTAAGTAAAGATAAGAACATTGAGTTTATAAATATCATTTATTTTCAGTATATTTAGTTGTTGAAATAAAGGTGATGATGGTGCTTTATTATATTCACTATTAGTAACTAAGCGGGCAAATCTTTTCTGCAGCTTTAATAAGATATCAATATGTGTTTTTCCTGTCCCACCCCAAGCTGGGATGCAATATTGTAAGTGTGAATAAATAAGTGAGTAATAGATATTCAATAATGATTTGATACTGAGTTTGTGTTTTATTCGAAATAGAGTACCTATGGTTTTTGAAATTTTTAGTGCAATTTTTCGAATATGTTCTTTCCAATTTAAATTTTGGTCAATTATAACGCCAAGAAAATTTGTTGAAAAAACACGAATAATGTAAGAGTCTCTAATTTTGATTGAAATATTATCTGGTACCCTATTTTGGGAAGTTGTAAAGACCATAAAGTTGGTTTTATCAATGTTCAATGAGAGTTTATTAGCACAGAACCAATCATCTACAGTTTTTAATTCATTATTCACTATATCAATTAAGGAATAAATATTTTTGTCAGAGCAAAGAATATTGGTATCATCAGCAAAAATTACATATTTGAATAAATTGCTAGTAGAGATTAGGTCATTTATGTAAAGGATGAAAAGTACCGGGCCTAAAATGGATCCCTGAGGGACACCACATTGTATTGTTTTCATATCCGAGTATTCATGTTCAAAAAAAGTAGTTTGCTTTCTGTTACTAAGATAACTTTTGAACCAATCCAAGGATTTACCCTGGAAGCATTTGGTGATGATTGTGCCAGGCATAAGTCTTGCAACAGATAGCATGTGAAAAATATTACCAAGAACAAATATTTTTGGGTTTTAGATTTAGTTCCCTTATAATAATCCCTTGTTTTTAAAAGTTTTCAAGGGACAAAGGTTTACATGCACATGTATCTAGGATCTACACAATCTTCCAAGAGAAAAAATATTACCAAGAATAAATAATTTTGGGTTTTAAGTTCCCTAGTAATAATCCCTTGTTTTTAGATGTTTTCAAGTGGTCAAAAACGTATCTAGTTAGGAGTCAAAATGTGTCAGACACAAAATATTTTCTGGGATAGAGGATGGAAGATATAACCGAGGAGACAAGATATTCAAAATTATGTATTAATGTTTGATTTATTTATTTCAGTTTCTGTACCTATACTTGTATTCAAGCTTGCTGGCAAGCCTTTTAAGAGAGGATTTTTCTGTGATGATGAAAGTATTATGCACCCTTTTCGAGACTCTACGATAAGTACAGTGACATTATTTGTAGTGGGATTGGGACTTCCTCCTGTCTGTGTAAGTCAAATTTACTATTTTCTGGCCTCTGAAGTTCACAATGGGAATTTCTTATCATTAAAATATGTTTATTCTCTGAATTTAAATACAACAGTAGTTAAACACTCAACACTTCAATTCGTGTATCAGTATGAAAAACAAAATAATCATTCTGAGTCATGTTGAGTTACAGTTCACATTGTTTGGTGTTATTTTGTCTCAACATGACAAAATCTTTGACCTGCTGTCAAGTGTTCTAAAATGACTATTAAATTTACTATCCCACTAAAAAACAACAGATTTCTGAAAAAGACATGGGCTTTCAAGAGAAGGGAATGCAACTTCCATTACTCATACATGCATTGCCTTGCGATTCAAAAATGCTTCCTGTACAGATTCCAAGAAAAAAGTTGTTATGTACTTTTCATAATAACTCAAAAATAAAGACATGATTATGAACATGCATGTTGATTTTATCATACAGACTGGACTTCATCATGGAAGTAATGAAAGAGTGAGTTCTCTCACAAATCATATTTTTATCGGAATGTGTTCCTAAGTAATTACCCACAATGCAACACTTAATTCTTATTATTGGTCAATTTTTGATTACTAGTATTACTTTTAAATGAGATAAAACATAATATTTTATGCTTTTATCATATTCAGAAAGATAATCCCAAGACATATATTACATGCATGTATTTATCGAAAATTCTTCGAAATGTGATCAAAAAAGGGAAGCATGTCAATGCTCATTTTGAAGTTCTCATGTTTTTAACAGAGAGTAGCATACCCCTCTTTTGAAAGCCCATTCAAAAACTTAAAGATCTAATATTGGTGTATTGTGTTACATTTCAGATCCTCATCACAGAAGGTTATTATGTCCTAATGAGAAAAAGACAGGGAGAGGAATTCAAATATTTTCAAATTGGGAAATTCAACATTCATCCGTATGTCTGGGTGTGTTATAAACAGATTGGCGTTTTCTTCTTTGGTGCTGCAACTAGTCAGCTTACAACAGACATTGCTAAATATACAATAGGAAGACTAAGACCTCATTTTATTGACATTTGCAAGCCTAATTATTCTCTAGTACCCGGATACACAGGGGACTGTACTACATTAGGATATATTGAGAGAGATATATGTGAAGGAACCGATACAAATTTAATGAAAGAAATGAGGTATGTTTTATTCCTAGATAATACCAGAAAATACCCCCTACCATAATAAACTTGATGATTTGAGTAAATTCTTCCAGTATCTGCAAAAAATGTGAATTTTATATTTCTTGCTTTGCTGTTGAAAACGACTTCTCTTTTTTAATGTTTCTTAATATGTGTGAACCAGTAAATATAAGGGGATTCCCAGGACAGATGCTTAATTAAATTAAGTGTTGTATATGTCTTTTATATGTTGAATATATCTGTTTTTGATTTGCTAATGCTTCATTTTCCAGACTATCATTTATGTCAGGTCATGCTTCATTTTCTGCCTACACAATGATCTACTTGGTGGTAAGTGCAATATTTTATATAAGTAAGCTTATTTAAATAACCCCCAGGTTGAAATATTGTAAATCCAGTGTAAACAATTAAGTGACACTATTCTTGTATCTTTAGATTGAGGTTATTTAACAAGATAACATGTGTATACTGTAGATACACTTAATTTGGCTCCCATTTTAAATTGACGGATTGGCAGATTCAGAAAATCCACAGATTAAAAGTCCATCAAATTTCAGTTTGGAATGTTTGTCCAATGCACTTCATAAATTAAACTCCAGGAGGCCCTTTTCCTGTCAACATGTCATCAATTCCACATTTTTCCAAAAGAAAATATCTTAGTAAACACCTGTCCTAATGACATACATATAAACATCTAATTAGATAGCCACCAATATTTGAAATTGAGCAAATCCGTCAAATTAAGTAGCTCAAAATAAGTGTATCTACAGTTACTGTACATGTATTCTGAATATGTTTCCAATTTATGTGGTGTTTATTTAGCTTTACATCCATGCAAGATGGCAATGGAAAGGACAAAAACTTCTGAGACCATTTCTACAAGTGGTGATCCTCTACATGACATATTACACATGCCTTTCCCGTATATCAGACTACAAGCACCATTGGAGTGATGTTCTCATGGGATTTATACAGGGCCTTGCAGTTGCAGTTTTAGTTGTAAGTGCAGTAGCTTATAATATATTTTATTAGAATTAGGCCAAGATTTATTTATTTCAATGTTAGGGCCATCGTAGAAAAACACTGACAGGTGTCAAGTCAAAGTGACTTACTGCTTTGCTTTATGAGCTCACTATCGTTAAATAAACTTCCCACTCTGTATTCCCCAACTGTTTTTTACAGAATCTATGGCTATTATCTTGTAATGGAAAACAAAATTTGGATGTGTTATTTTCCTATCCTGTGAAATTTGATATTAATTTCTACCCTAAATCTTTCCTGTAAAATCGTTGGGGGAGTTACGCTCTTAAGTACAATGCATTGTATATGACCGGCTCGTTTCACTGAGTTTATTTGATGTATTGTACACTTAACTCCTTCACTAGAATTTATGATAAACATGTGTATAAATGTTCAATATAAATAACTGCAATAACATTGTGTCTTCATTATAACAGGTGCAAATCAAAATAAAGATAACATGTATATGGCTTCTAATCAGCTGTGTAAATGAAACTAATAACTTTTCAATGAGTAAGTCAACATTTCACCCAAAATGTTCATGATAAGGGGAAGCTTTAATAAAAATCAACATTCATTTAAAACCAGTTCGTGGGCGGGGATTAGTCATTTTAGTTCGTTATTTGATATTTATATTATCTTACCTCATAGCTTTACTTTGCAAACTCAAATGTACACTGTATGAGTAGTATTCTAGATCTAAAAGTGATACTTCAATTTCCTCATGTTCCATTATATGAGATCAACAAGTCACAAACAGAAGTCAGAACTTCCATAGAAAGTCTCCGTTTATTTTGGACAGTTCAGTGGTTCAATGGATGTGACAAAGGTCTCCACACAACTTTCTCCAAGCTTAAGTTATGAAGAGGATCAATGATTGATTTGATTAGTTACATTTTATATCAGATATTGATCTCTTTTTAGGCCATTTTTAAGTCTACATATACATGTGTCTACATGCCCAAGTTTACATGTACTTGTGTCTTCATGTAAGCTAATGTCTAAGTCTACATGTATATGTGTCATCAATAATGTCATTTTCTACATCAAACACCTTTCACATGTATATAACATTGTAAAATATTTAATATTATTAACTTATATCCATATATTGATCTAGCTTTTATTTTGATTCAACTAGGCACAATACGTATCTGATCTCTTCAAGAAAGAAAAAATCTGGGACCTAATAGAGCGCGTCCAAACAACCACAAAACCTCATAAAATAGTGGCTGCCAATGGTGACGCAGTTCAGGATGGAGATGTGTCGACGGGTACGGAAGTGGTCTATATGACCAAAGTTTAGCCATTTCTTTTAGCTCTCCTGTAAGTCACTATTAGCGTATGATTAACTTACTGCTGATATGGTCTGAACTTTTTCCTTCCTTCTTGTATAAATAACAATGGATTTTTGTAATCACAAGTTACTGTGTAATTTTTCAATGTGTCTTAGCACAGTGCAGACAATTATGTCATTTAACGTGTCATACATCAATTAACACAATTTTGATAATTGTTTGTTAACTGATGGAATGGACATTAATTGACATAAATAAAGTAAAATTTAGTTAGGCTATTACATTTGGTGCAATTTCTTTTTCTGTTTTTGTCTGGTTTGTTTCACTACATTATCACGGTGTCTAACCCAAACGCTCCTACATGCACGACGGAGCGTTTCATTACTGAATCTAAACGACGAAACGAGGAAACTCTGGAGTAAGAAAATTGGCGGGTGGAAGTTATCAGCCATCTAACGATTGCGATGGTGATCATCATCTAATGAAGGCTCAAAGGTTGGCTTGTTGCACATGTAGCACCACCAAGTTGGGAAATTTCAATTTGCCTATCAAGTACAACATGTTTTTGAGGAATAGGTTTGATTCCAAACTCTCGTCTAATAATCTCAAAACAATAATATCAAATCAAAATGGTAAGAGTGTTTCTAAAATTGTGTCCAAAATCGACGGAGTGTTTTGAGGAAAACAAGCGATTTCTCGAAAACAAGTAATGAATTTGGACTGGAATTTTGGCAAATGAGAATATACGAGTTTGTGATCTACGACTTTGACAGCAAGATTTACGCTTTCATATGAATACTAGTTTAATTCATAATTTATACTCGATTCGTCAACTTCAGATTAATTCGATCTACACTACGGAGCTTTGATCAAGCAAATAACGGTTTACCATCAGAAGTTGAATGAATAAGATCTTTGCTCAGGGTATCATTCATCGAATGGTACATAATATGTTACCATAATGTAAGATATCTTAGAGAAATGAGTTGAACAAATAATAACGGTCATAGTGGGATCTTCACTAGCCGCCATTTTATTTCACTTCGCAGCATTTTCGCTTGAATGAAACACTTCATCGTGTATGTAATTGAGCGTTTGGGTTAGACACTGTGATTATTTGTTAATTAGTTAGTTCTTCCCCAAAGTGTCTCACATTCTCAGGCACTGTGATTACACATCCTGTATGACATGTTACTAGATTCATAGAAGTTGTTCATTGTGCTTGCATAATGGCATACATTATTGCAGGGACTTTAGAGGACTTCTAAAGGCCCTTCTTCACCAGTATGTGTATCATTATTATCCTAACGAACGTAGTTCGAGCAGGATATAGGAAAGCCATCCGTCTGTTTGTCTGTCTGTCTGTCTGTCCGGGCAATAACTCAAATACCGATTGATGGAGGAGATCTGCTTCAGAAGAATTTTCAAAGCGTTATCTGAACTTCAAAATAGCTGTCATTTTTCATAATAAAGGTTATCTTTGATAACTCAATTACCAGTGGACGGATTTACTTCAAATTCTATATACTGATGCTTATAGATAAAGGAGCTCTGCTTGAGAAGAAAGTTTCAAGATGGCTGCTATTTATCACAATCTCCACCATTTTTCATTAAACGTGTAATTCTTGATAACTCAAGTATCATTTGACAGATTTGGATTAAATTTTATATGCTGATACCTTGGGTCATAGGAGCTCTGCTAAAGAAGACATTTTAAAGATGACAGCTGAGTTTCAAAATGGCAACCATGTTTCATAAAAACATAATCTTTGATAACTCAAATACCAGTTGATAGATTTGGCTCAAATTTTATATAGGCGGCATTTATCAAAACATGTTTTGTTCGGTGGGATTTGCTACTCCGTGGAGTTTCTGTTTTTCTAGTTGTATTTGTTAATGTTGATGCAATAAAACTCATAAAATAAAAGTAGTCATTTCCTTTACCTTCAGCTGCACCTGTCGATCAACTGCTGGCTTAGCTGAGTAGGGGATTTTTACAGCCTTCTCTCTTCACTAAATAGTTGGACTTTACAAAGTTTGACAGTGGCAACCCTATCCTGATTGAGGAGTAACACCAAGAGATGGAGGGGTGTGATTTTTAACATTACAGAATATAGACAGGTTCCAATTTCAGAATATCTCAAGGGAAAGGGTTTTTGAGGCATTTTTTAGAAAAAGCAACAGACCTATTTCTTCTGGATCAGTTTTTCATGCTGATAAAGATATTAAAAGATGACAGCTCAACGGGGTGGTCACGACAATGAATTTTAGCGTTTTTACCCCCCTAGGAAAATATTCTAGGGGGTACTATGAAACTAGTTCATAACTCAAAGGATATATAAACTGTTGTTCTGAGTTCTACAGCATACATTGCTAGTACAGAGATGAATACTACCCTAAAGTTATAGGTTGATATCTTTGTTGGTTTCGGAAAAATACAATTAATTAGAAAAAAATAAGCAATTTTTGTCATTTTTTTCTTGCTTATTTTATATTTGTAGCTTCAAGCAAAATATGATAACTTAAACAGCTCAAAGTAGTATTCTAACAACATTCCCAAGCTATGTGTGATATTGTAATACATCTATTATAGTGATGAAGTACTATTTTGTAATTTTAATATGACTTTATAGTGCCCTACCCCTGGTAAATAGAAGAAAGTTGGTGTGGTTTTCTTCTGGTTTTATAACATTTTATTGTCTTCTTAGTTGAAGATACAATCAAATCTGTCAGTTAACCATGAGAAGCTTTACAATGGTTAACTATTCCCATGAATAGAGGGTTGGGACCTCAAAAATACTGTTAAGTGGCATCCTTGGGCAACCCTCTTCAGAGCATTTTCCTTATACTCCGATAAAATCTGCAGGGGATACTATAAGAAACCTGTATATCTAAGATACTAATGAAGATACTGAATTCAAATTGTTAGGATTTGGTCCTGGTATGATAGGTAATCTGTATGATAAAAATGACAAAAAGAAAAAAACTCTGTTGCCATAGTAACAAGAATACGACACTATTTGTTTCCTAAGAAATGTGTTTTAAGAGGTTTTGTCATTCTCTTCATATTTTTAATTCTAAATATGTCTACAATGTGGGATGATTAAAATTATGGTAAAGTAATCTTTTCTATTGTTCTATTGTTCTCTAAAACAGAAGTTGCTAGGGCGACACATAGATCATAGAAAAAATCGCTCTATTTGTCAGGAAATTAAAATGGAAACTGAAAAATGAGTTTCTTCCTACTGAATAGCAATTTGGTAGACCATGGCTGACACGCACAAGAGAAAACGCCTCAAACGCCAAAAATCAGTTCTTTGTCATTTTGTTGTTATTTTTATTTATTTATCGTGCTCTGGGACTTATAACACCTAATGCCGAATCTTTTCCAACTGCAAAGGAAGGCAAGATTTTAATAATGAACATTCATATATCTCAACAAATATGGCCTAAGATTTGGACAATGATGATGAAACTCTGAGGGAAAATTAGACGAAACATTAATGTGAGTGGTCCAAAAATAACACTTACATGTTTTGAAAAAGTTATGCTCTCGGGTGAATCAGTGCTCATTTAAGGATAGTCTGAATCAGGTGATTTTTTTAACCTAATTGTACCCCTCCCCCAAAGCCCCCAAATTTTGACAATTGTCGAAAAGTGGCAAACAACAATTAAACAAACATCATTAAAGTTCAATATGGCTATTTCGCTTCTATGTCATAAAGATGTGGTACGATCTCAGGTCAATCAATAAATTTCACAAGAGACACTCTATCTTATGAAGAAAATATTATTGTATTTGAAGACATGTCAAAAATTTGGTGGAAATAATTTTGTCACTCCTGATTTGACTTGGAAAGGTTCAGGTAAGTAATCACAAACAATTTCAGACAGTTATATCTTTGATTATGACTATTTTCTGACCATGAAGACAGGTATACAGGGATAATTAAGTCAATCGGACTCCGAGATATTTCACTAGCAATCAACCCATCAATATATTTTTTCAAAGTTGTTGACCTCATTTTCACCAAAAATGCCATCATTTTAACAATGTTAACAATTCGGTGTCTTTAAAGTCCCTGGAGCAATCCACTTTTCCTCTTAGGAAATAGAACATGTCTCAAAGCATATTCTAATTATGCATTCAACAATATAATTAAAGGTTGCATCTTTGGTAAAAATTAGGTCAACATTTTTAGTAAAAAGTATGTTGATTGGGCCATTCCCTTTAATATCACTTAGGTCTGATTTCAATCATTATATTTACTTTTCTTGAAGATAATGAATGGATCTAAAAGATATACCCATGTTTATGGTCAGAAAATATTCATAATTCAAGTTAGAATTGTCTGAAGTTGTTTGCGATAACCTACATGCTCCTTTATAACATTATTATGTAAATACAGTAGAACCTGTGTAAGTGGGACACTCTCTGTTCTGCCAAAAAGCGTTCCACTTAGAAGGTGTTCCACTTATGGAGGTTTTGGGTTCGCAGGGAACATACAAGATCAAATATAGGATTTATATGTATCATTGGAAATATGATTCTCCCTTCATTACAGGGCAGGTATATACCATTAATAATCCATTTATTTTACTCAAAAAGGTATCTGACATTCTTAATCCTCCTCATTCTGCCAAAAATGTTTTCTGACATTCTTAATCCTCCTAATTATGCCAGTCTCGGGTACAAAGATTAGGCAATTAAGTTTTAAAGATTTGTTCCTACTGCTAATAATTCAATTGTTTTTAAATGACATTTTTAATCTTACTTATTAAGTTTGAAACAAACAGCAAGGGATATTAATTAGTGGTAGCATCACGTGTCCAGTTCTACAGGAGGTTAATCCAATTTTCTGAATGATAATCTTATGAAATCCTAATTTGCTGATTATCAAATTAATTATTGGTTGCATCACATGTTGACCTCTACAGGAGGTTAATCCATTAAAATCCATTAAAGTCCTAATTTGCCAATTATCATAGTATTACCTGTTTTCATACCCAGATATCATTGAAGGAGATTAATTCTGTTTACATATATCAATATTGAAATCTATGGAAATTGACTGTTCCACTTAGCAGGTTAATTTTTCAATGTGGGGTGTTCACTGTTCAAGTTTGGAGGTGTTCCACTTAGCAGGCTAATTTTTCAATATGGGGTGTTCACTGTTCAAGTTTGGAGGTGTTCCACTTACAGAGGTTCAATTAACATTAAGTCAATGGGTTTTTAAAACGGGACTTTGAAAAGGCGTTCCACTTGGGAGGTGTTCCACTTACAGAGGTGTTCCACTTAGCAGGTTCTACTGTACATTACTTGTGCATGATGACCACCATAGTCTAGTTGCTCAAATGATATCAATTGATGATGATAATGTTTAGACTTTATGTCAATGTCCAGACTGTATGCCAACCTCTCTAGTATGTGATTACACTAGATTTCATTATGATACATGTACTAAATTGAAAACTTACATATAAAATATATTAAGTCCTATATTCTAGTAATAAATGAATTAGAATGTCACCTAACATTTGATGATGGTATGAATTTATTGATTTGGTGTCTATCAATACACGTTTCTAACTTAATGCTGCAAAATGATAAAATTCACCACATCCACTTTCTTCAATTTTCCAGGGGTAGGGCACTATAATATCATATTAAAATTACAAAATAGTACTTCATAACTAAAATAGATGTATTACAATACCACACATAGCTTGGAAATGTGTTTAGAATACTACTATGAGCTGTTAAAGCTGTCATATTGTGCTTGAAGCTACAAATATAAAATTGGCAAGACAAAAATTACGTATCTTTTTCCTGTTTTTTGTATTTTTCTGAGACCAATTAGGGTATCAACCTATAACTTTAGGATAGTATTCATATTTGTACTAGCAATGTATGGTGTACAACTCAGAACAATAGCTCATATATCCTTTGAGTTATGAACTAGTTTCATAGTACCCCCTAGAATATTTTCCTAGGGGGGTAAAAATGCCAAAATTTAGTGTCGTGACCACCCCGTTGAGCTGTCATCTTTTAATATCTTTATCAGCATGAAAAACTGATCTAGTAAAAATAGGTCTGTTGCTTTTTCTAAAAAATGCCTCAAAAACTTGAATTATTTGAATTGGAACCTGTCTAATATACTTAATTGAGCTCATTAAAAATATTTGGAGCCTTTATATTATATAAATTTACACATACAATTATGAATAATGTAAATATAGTAATCAGAGTAATAAGTTGTTAAACGACGATGGCTTGTAATTGTCCATGCTCTATAATGCATGGACGTAGCGCCTATTACGCAAAATACGCACAGGCGTACCAAATAAATTTGAAAAATATTAAAAATGTGTTATAATGTATTAATTTATTATCCCATCGAACGAAGTTCGGAGGGATATAGGGAACGCCTCCGTCCGTCCGTCTGTACGTACGTCCGTACGTACGTCCGTACGTACATCTGTCCGTCCTTGCAATAACTCAAATACCGTTGGCCTGATTTTGTTCATATTTTGTACACATATACCCTATGGGGTAGTAGTTCTGCTCGAAAGCCGATTTTCAAAATGGCCGCTCATTTCAAAATGGTGGCCATTTTAGTGCCGATTTTGCAGTAATTTATGTGCAATATGTAAAACTGTAATAGCAATATGTTTTAATTGTAAAAAAATTATAAAGGACATTAATAATGCTACAAATGTAGATATTAAAGAAGCACATGGCAGCCATTTTGAAAAATGGCGGCCTTTACTCGTCATTTTACGATATTTGCTGTAACTCAAAAAATAGTGGAGCGATTTTGTTCATATTTGGTATGTGAATACTATAAGCATTGCACACTGTCTAAAGACACTTTTGGTAGAAGGGGGCCATTTTGAAAAATGGCTGCCATTTTAACATATTTTACTATAACTCGAAAAGTAGTGGAGCGATTTTGTTCATATTTGGTATGTGAATACTATAAGCATGGCACACTGTCCTATGACACTTTGGGTAGAAGGTGGCCATTTTGAAAAAAATTGAAAAATGGCCGCCATTTTAACGTATTTTACTATAACTCGAAAAGTAGTGGAGCTATTTTGTTCATATTTGGTATGTGAATACTATAAGCATGGCACACTGACCTATGACACTTTTGGTAGAAGGCGGCCATTTTGAAAAAATTTTTGAAAAATGGCCGCATTTTAACGTATTTTACTATAACTCGAAAAGTAGTGGAGCGATTTTGTTCATATTTGGTATGTGAATACTAAAAGCATGGCACACTGTCTATTTCTAATGACACTTTTGGAAGAAGGTGGCAATTTTGAAAAATGGCTGCCATTTTAACGTATTTTACTATAACTCGAAAAGTAGTAGAGCGATTTTGTTCGTATTTGATATGTGAATACTTTAAGCATGCACATTGTCTAATAAAACTTTGGGGAGTAGTCGGCCATTTTGAAAAATGGCCACCATTTTTATGTGGGTTATTTTCCAAGTACGTGTGCGATTTTTCAAAAATTATAGAGGTGGCTACTTAAAAGCATATTATTCCTTCAGATGACAACTTGGCTAGTGAGCAACCATTTTGAAAATGGGGGCCTTTCTGGTGTGTTGTTTTGTGATATTTGTTATTCGTTTGTAAAAATGCCAGCCATTTCTGTTCGATGGGATTCGCAACGCTTTGGCGTTGCCGTTGTTCTGGTTTGCGAATTTATTGATGCTTCCTAACATTTAAAGTTGATAAAAACACTTAGATTCCATTAAATAACGTCCTTGAAAATAGTGTTCCTGGGGAAGCATACCTCCGGACCCCCCGCGATGCGTGGCAAAAGGCATTCCTGAGTGTGCGTACCAACTCAAAATATAGCCCTACGTCCATGTAATGCATTGCCATTTCAATGTTGATTGTGATTTCCTCACGTTCATGAATGCAATATAATTACATGTAGTCAGTGACATCACATAAAGCTTGAATATTTGAAAAACATGGTAAGAATTGTAACCAATCAAGATCATTACAAGGTGTTCTAAAAGATCAAGCACTGTGTCAAATGGTGTACGTTGAACCTACAGTCCTACAGTTTAAGAGTCAATCTCCTAATTCTCTTGTTTTGTTTTTCGCCCTACCTATGACACCATTATGTATTTCTTTGATGATTTTTATTAATTAAAGTGACAGTGTGATAGAGATTGTAAAATATCAGAAGCTATTTTTTACAAAAATTTATAGTAGTCAATTAAGGGTACCACAAGCTATTTGATATGAGCTGTGTAAATTGGACTTCTTGTACTGTGGTTCCCCTTATGTTAATGTGTCTATCTTTTGCTGTCACTCTAATTTTGATGCCATGTAATGCATCATGTATGGTCACAATGATCTGATCACGAAACATAGATGAATGTTCACTTGTATAAATAAATGCCATATTCTGAATTTAACTAGTCACTAAAGATGTTTTCATCGATGTGACATAGTTCTCTATAATAGTCAGGTGAATTTCTAGGTTAAGACTGTTTTGTGAATTTTAATGAACATTTTTCATTGCCATTTTTGTTTTAGTATAGTATTATAGCAATGCTTGTGTATGCTTACTAAGTGATACAGGGTAAACCTTTTTAGAATTTATTTCAGTTTTGCTTCATGTAAATTTCTCTAAATTAATGTACATGGAGCTGTTTTTGATATATAGTTTTTGTCATTTAAAGGTACATGTTTTCAAGAAAGGATTGAAAATATAATAATTTATTTTTATTTTAAAATAATTTAGTCTGACACATGTTATTTAACTGAATTGAATGCCTTAAAATTATATTTATTCCACCCAAAAAATTGAGCAGGGATATGGAGATGCTGTTTGTTCTTTCAACTAATCATCTGTAAATCAGTATGACTAGGTGCTTATAACTCAAATACCGATTGTCAAATTCAGTTCAATTGTGCTTGATATTTCTTTATATAAAAATGAACTTAAAGGGGGTGGCTGAGTATTTAAGCTCATATTCAGATAGAAATGGAGTCATTAGTAAACCATTAAATTTGAAAATAACTGAAACTGCTTGCTCTGACATTAAATTTGCCTTTTCCTATAGAATTAATGATTAGATTGCTACAAAATTTGTCACATTTTTGTATGAATATACTATCTTCAAATAAATGTACTTATTTCAATCAGACATATCTTGAAAACACATTAAATCTTCATTTTTTAAACTGCTAATGGGAGGAGTTAACAATTCAAAGTACAGCCAATCGGCATTGCAGAAATTAGTCACATGATACATATAAACAAAGGGACATGGCTAAATGTAGATAGAGAACAATGTTTTCTACTTACCAAACATGTGAAGTATTCATCAATTCAATAATTTAATCCAACAATGCCAATGAGTATATATTCCTTTGATTTTAAATGATATTGTTTTCTTTTTTTTCATATAAGGTCATTTCCATGAGTTTATTGATAATCCTTGAATATGTTCCGTGTTTTGTTTTATACAATATGTTGGTGCTCATAATTGACCTTTTCTCAACATTGTGTATCAAATGCTTTTGTATAAGTCACTAAACTGATATTGCTTAGTTTTTATTTTACGACCTTTATTTTAATCCCACCAAGCTTGTTATAAAGTCTCTGCTTTATAAATCATCTCCTAGAAGTTCTACTTTGAGTAACTTTCTGTTTACTTTTATTTGCTAGTGGTTGAGACATGATGTAGTTGATTTGAGAACTGACACCTAAAAGTAAAGGAAAGTAGAGACATCCCCTTATATAATTGAATTGACCATTTTAACATTTTGAAGATGACTCAAATATTCTCATTGAAAATTAGTTAACAATTTCAAACTGTATGGTTTATGAGTGATATAGGTTAGAGACCAAAACATCCTGGGTTTGGTGTCTCCTAGAAAAATATCTTTCAACATCCCACTGTATTACCCAACTTTTCCTGATTTTGAACATTTATCATGGTTCTGGTTATCCTGTGTTTGCTTTCATTTCTCTTGATGAAAGGGACATTACATTTCCAGACATTACCCTTGATTTGGGGGATTGTAGGAAACATGTCGGTATCTCAGGATTGGTTCATACCATGCTTTTTGAGAAGTTCCCTATCAACTTCTACTGAACTATCCTAAACCAATTGCTAATGACACTCTTCAAGTAGATCCTGATTCTTTAGACACTCAAATAGGGGTCATTAGTAAAATTGTGCTCATCATTTATGGTAGAATAAGATAACAAATTATGGACTTCTTGAAATTATTTGGCTAATTGAAAGAATAAAAGAAAACTATATCTCAGATGGCTATCTGTAAATAATAATAGTGGTTAAACTAACACCCAATTGTCCTACATAAACAAGGACCCTACAAGATACAAAACCCCGCTAAATATACCATGTGCATAGCCCATTATGTTCAGTAAACACTGCAGTAATCCATATAAGGAAAGTGAGCCCATCGGTGATAGGCTAATCCTTAATGCTTAATTATGTAATTTTTATCAGCTATCTAATTTCCTTAATGGGCTGCAGGGGGGTACTAGAGCACGGTCTTTAATGACGTTTTTTTCAAAACCAGCCATATATTGAAAATGGCTTCTCAATTTAAAATGGCCACCATTTAAAAATAACATTTTTGGCTAAAACCTAAATCCCCCTTGTCCAACTTTGGTTATGATTAAAATAAAAGTACATCATATGTTTGCAATCTTTGATCAAATAGGATTTTCCAAAATGGCCACTGGATTCAAAATGGTCTCATTTAGTGGTACTGTAGATCCACTTATTTTGACGCTACTTAATTTGACGGATTCGCTCAATTTGAAATATTGGCGGCTTTTTAATTTGGCGGATTCAGGACTAAAGTCTAAATCTTGTCAATGTTTATGTCATTAGGACAGGTATTTACTTAGATATCTTCTGTAATTCTTTTGGAATAATGTAGAATTTATGACATGTTGACAGGAAAAGGGGGTCCAGAAGTTTTCTGAAGGGCATTGGATCAAAATAAATTCCAAACGAAATTTGATGGATTTTTAATTTGGTGGATTTTCTGAATCCTCCAATCCGTCAAATTAAAACGGGAGCCAAATTAAGTGTATCTACAGTGTCTGAGATAGTCTGGGAATCACAGAATTTGGTCATAAACGGCTAAAATTGTCAGAAAGGTCAGGCAACAATCACTGTCATAATGAGTAATTGAAATTAAAAAGTTTGTACACATATTTAAAGATATGCTATACAGATATGTAGGTCAGTATTACATAATCGTGAAATGAATAAGTCTGAATATATCATTGGTCAGAAAACACTAAAACCTGCTTGAAACTGTAAAAGTTTATACACTCTATTCCACACTGTATAGAAATAAAATAGCTTACACTATAAGTAACTGTGAGCCAATCATTGCATAGAAAAAACTTTATGCACTGTTTATAAGATTCACTGAGACAAGTGGGTCAATACTTCGTGTACTTTATGTGCTCTCACACAATTACCTTCCCTTGCATAAAGTTGCTGTACAGTTATATGTAACTGAATATTGTATATTCATCACAAACAACCTTAGCAAAATGATGGTTCGACGAAACGGACGGTTCGCTAAAACCAATAAACCAGGCAATTCAGGCCAATTTGGAAAGAAACTAGATAGCGTGATAGCGAATGAGGATAGTAAGTGAAATATATTTTGCAAAGGTCAGCTTGTAAACTACTGGGTAACCCTAAATGATGAGAAATATGTACAAAATATGTTTTGCATGATTTATTCATATCCCAATGATTTAACTCCTTCACTGCATCTAATAAGGTATATAGATACTAATTACGGGACATTAATTGAGTGACTTAAGTGACTAGACCAAAGCAAGCATGTTTGAGATTTTAATGATTTTAAATAAATTACCACTTCATTATTTGCTTTTAGACATTCAATCAGTTTTATTTGTCCAACAAACCATATTCACAATTGTTCAATCCAACGAAGATTAGGGGATAAGCTAAGAGACCCCTCCATTTGTCCGTCCATCCATCCTTCAACTAGACAACAGCAACACCAAAGTGTAGCAAATCCCATCGAACAGCCATGGCTGGCATTTTTTTTACAAACAAAGTATACAGCAAAAATGGCAGCCATTTTTCAAAATGGCCACCTTCTACCAAAAGTGTCATTAGACAGTGTGCCACGCTTATAGTATTCACGCATCAAATATGAACAAAATCGCTCTACTACTTTTCGAGTTACAGCAAAAATCGTAAAATAACGAGTAAAGGCCGCCATAGTTCAATTCTTTGAAGCAAATGATTCTAAAAGTACAACATATCTTTGAAAAAATATCATTCTGTAAGTGAAATTGTAAAAAATATTTTGCAATGTGTGAAATTGAATTAAAGCACATGATTCAATGAATAGTGGATGCTTCAATCCACTTATGTCTTCTAGTCTAGGCTTTGAATTTGGACTACCACCCTCGTTCATAGTCTAGAATCAGGACATATGTTAAATTTAATCATCTACAATGCATTGAGTCATTGGCTTAAATCCTATAATATAATATGCCTATCAATATAATATGTAATTATTTAAGTATCATCTCAATGCTTTAATTTTAATAGAATTATTTTAATATTTTACTAACTGTATTATATGTAGTTTGCATTACTGTTGATAAATAAATAAATGATTGCACTGTTCAGTAAAGAAATATAGCAATTGTATTATTTAAACTGATTATACACTATAGAAATGATTTTCATTGAAAAATCAAATCAGTACCA